AAAATAAAATCAAACTTCCGCCCCATGACATATACATACTTTAATTACGGTTGGGAGCACACAGTTTATTGAGATTAGTTAATTAAACACTGATATACACACAGATCATAGAATTTTTTTCATTCAAACTCAATTCAAACCAAATTATGTTTCACATGTTGAACACATAACATTAATTTAACCTTTCAGTCATATTCATAGTAATTACACTCTTTCTCACCTATCCAACTAGGATACTCCTTTAGCTGATACATATTCAATTCAGTATGTCAGCTTCACTCCTAGATAGTAGTAAAGCAATACAATTTATTTTCAAGATTACACTATAATTTGCATCCATCCATTACTCCAGTACACCCACTTTCATATTCAGTTCTGAATTTAATCTCTTTTCCCCTGAAATGTGACAAAAAATGTTCCATTGAAATTTTTATTGCTGTGTTTTTACATTTTGTAGCGCTTACAGAGGGCCAAGACATTCACAACGGATAGCTTTGCCGACGATATCCGAAGCTTTATCGGTGATGAGAGCCAGTATTACCACAAGCCCCCATATATGGACAGCGTGGGCACCTCACACGTGTCTGTTGTGACAAAGGATGGATCTGCTGTGTCCGTCACCAGCTCCATCAACTACGTGTCAGTGTTTGATGCTTTCCGATTCAACCATCAAACATTATTGTCAGTTTGAAAATAGAAGATTAAGAATATTTAAGAGATTACATAACAAGTGAATTTATAAAGGAAACTGAAAGTACTCCAGTAATCACAGCTAGTCTACAGTATTTATAATGTTTATGTAATGTATGATATAAGTTTAATTTCTCTAGTATGCCATCAGAATATTCTTTTGACGCCTCACAGGTTTGGATCACGGATCTTATCTCCGAGCACCGGAGTCATCCTCAACAACCAGCTGGCCGACTTCTGTCAGAGAGTTGATAAATTCTCTCCTGGTAATAAGATCAGCATTCTCTTTGTTCAGTTAACCAGAAACTACCAGAAAATAGTGACAACTGATGCCAGCCTGTCGGGCTGGGTCAGTGTTTGAGGGCAGAGCGGTAAATGGGTGGTGCAGCTCCATCACGCCCAAATATAAACTATTTGGCGTTTTCAGCTTAGTTTAGGATAAGCTTGTTTGGCAATACTTGAATCTCCATATTCTATAGTGAGACATCAAAATGAATGCTATCGAAGAGAACTTCTGTAATTTCCTTGTTGCATGAGGGAGATGTCTAACCAGACTGCCCTTCTTGCCGATGGGGTGTGCTTTTGAGTTTTGAATGACTCTTTAATCCAAACTCCACGCTTCCTTTTTTGATGACTGGTGACTATTTCTGTCTTAGGTTAAACATGTTTCAGCAATAAAGCTGAAAAAAATGACAGATTTACAGTGGAATTATGACCAAATACTTGCAGAAAACCAAAGACATTCCCATCAGCCTCAGATGAATTGTGTTTAGTGCTAATGAGAACATGTTAGCATGCTAATACGCTAAAGTAGGATAATGGATGGTAAACATTCTACTTGCTAAACATTGCCTAAAAATTCTTTTAGGCAACTTCAAGTACAATCACGTCAGGCTTCAGAATACAATCAACTTTATTGTCATATACAATCCTAGACAGGATGGGTTAATGCAGAGATTATGTTCTACTAAGTACTAGGAGCAGTGGGCAGCTACTATACAGCTCCCGGGACTGAACTCCAGATGTAAGCCATTGCCTTGGTCAAGGACACTGACTTGAGATATTAACCTAACATAGCTATTTTGATGGTGGAGGAAACCGAGCACCCGCAGAGGGAGGACATGCAAACTGATGATGAGTCTGAATTGTAGCCGTTCGTCCTGTCAGTCACTGCGTTTGTTGTTGTTGTTCTCAGGGGAGCAGCCTCCCTCCTCCATGGCCCCCATTGTGCTGAAGTCGAAGTCGAAGTTACTGGTGATTGGGGGTTCTGGTGGGGACAGGATCACGACTGGGGTCGCCTCGGTACGTATTCCGGGCAATCACACAAGTGCCTTTAAGATGAACTGCTGCAGACTAATGTCTATCTACTGTCGTAGAAAGTGCCATCCTCGCGAGTGTCTCTCACTGTGTCCACAATGTATTCAGTAATAATTACTTTCCCAGCAGGTAGATTGCAACGTATTGTTCTGTTTCTCTTCCAGGTGCTCATAAACCACCTCTGGTTTGGAAAAAGTCTTAAACAGGCGATTAAAGCTCCAGTTGTTTTTGTCAACTCTGATAATGAAGTGGAGTATGAAAAAGATTTTGATGAGGTAACACACTAAATACTGAATGTGGGAATTTGCTAAAACAACACATCATCTTTGCACCATCTGAGCCTCTGCTCCTCTTTGTCCTTCAGGATGTAATCAAGGCTCTGAAAGCTCTGGGACACAAACAAAAAGATAAAGAAACTTACTACAGTGTGGTCAACGCAGTGGAGCTCGAGGACGGTTGTATCAGCGCCGAGTCTGATGAACGGAAAAAAGGCCAAGCAGCCGGTTTCTGAGACCACGAGTCAGTGACACTGTTTTATGCAGGAGGGCCCGGAGGTTACAGAGACCTTCCTGGCTAATAAGCTAATTAACTAGGGCTTTCCTAACATTAGCTAACTTAAAGGCCCAATGAAGTTAAAACGCTTAAGTGTTTTTTTTTATCTCCCTTTGTGCTGTACATCTCTTATACTCCAGTATCTGTATGCAATATTGACAAAAAGACTTTTTAAGGTGTTTTCATGTATTCTTAATGGTATTTTAGGGTTAGAAAAAACAATAAAAATAAGTTAATGACTAATCCTGCACTCAAATTTTGCATCCAATGAAACACTTTCTGAGTGTTTCTTAGGGATCATGTATTACAGACCTCTCTGGCCTCACTGATTACTGTACAGAAGCTCAACTTTATAACTGTATTCAGTGCTTTTTGTGAAACTGCATCAGATTTAATGGAGAAGAAAGTTTTCCCTCTGACGTCCTCCGGCTGCTCAGCTTCAACTCTCTGTGATTCACAGACTTTTCTGATGGACAGTTTAGCTAAAATAGCTAACTGTTAATTAACTGCTGCTAACTGTATCTGCCATTAGTGGGTGACAGAACCGGGCTCAGCAGTCGGACCAGGATTGAACACAGCCTCTTAGACTGACAGGGAATAACATTACAGTACAGAGGTAAAAAACACAAACAATTAAAAGCCAGACTAAAGATGTAAGTTTTGGGTTCGAGACTTTAGGATTGGTGTAATGTGCGTTCTCTTTCTCGTACTCGTCAAGACACGTGCAGCTAAGTTTTGAAGTGAAAGTTCTGTTCTTTTTAGGGAGAGCAAAAAAGTAGAGCTTCACAGTAATCAATCCTGCAGATAATGAAAGCTCTAATGTCTCTCTTGGCCTAAGAGGGAGAAACAGATTTAAGATGATAAAAGGTTTTAGTTATGTTTCTAATGTGGGGTTAAAAACTAAGATCGGAATCAAAGATAACTGCAAGGTTTTTTACTTGTTCACAGGGATTTAATGTCAGTGTCAGGACTTCAGTTTTGTCATGACTGAGCTGTAGATAATTCTCTCCCATTCATTGCTTAAAATCTAAAAAAAACCCAATTAAAAAGGGCATCTATTGGCCCCGAGTGATCAGCAGATGCAGCTATGTAAAGCTGAGTGTCATCAGCATAGCGATGGAAACTGATAACCTTTCTAAATGTCAGCATGTAAAGGTTAAATAGGGTGGTACCTAAAATTGAACCCTGGGAGACAACACAATTCATTTTATAGCTTTTATTTAACGTTCATCAATGCTGACAAAAATGTCGTTCAGATTTAAACCAATTAAAATCAGTATCAGAGAGGCCAGCCAGACTGGGAAGTCTAGTTAAAACAATGGAGTGATCTATTGTATCACAGCTCAGTTAGGTCAAGTAGTCCTAATACAGTCCTATACATAGTAGCTGTCAGATAAAACTAACAACAACAATTGATTTAGATAAGCTAATTGACTGAAAAGCAAGCTAACAATTGGTGTGGATTAGCCTAGCATGTAGCATATCGGGGCGGGGCTTATAAATTCAACTAATTTTCTGTCATTTGATCCCATTTCAGATCAATCGTTACTCAGTCACAGTAAGCACTGATGTTTAGTTTCATTGTAAATGAATTTGTTGCTTATGTTTATTAAATGTAATTACATGTTATTAATGGTTTTGTTATGTAAATACATACCTACAGGTTCAATATGAACCTCTTTCTTTCAGTCTGATTATTATCGTCCACTTGAGTCTGTGACGGACCTTTATATTTAATCTGGTGTACTGACACAAACATGGAGGTCAAAACCTCCGCGGGCGTCTGCGAGGGGCCGGAGGAGACTGATGGGCGGATTATAGAAGATAAAGTGAGAAATGTATGAGAGGAGACAGTTGGAGAGAATTACAGTCAACCTTGAAGGATTTCATTAGCCTCCGCTGACTGAATTAT